CCAGGTTCCTGGCCCCCTCCTGCACAGTCCTCTGGACGTCTGTCCCCCCGGGTCCCTGGCCCCTGACTGCACAGTCCTCTGGACGTCTGTCCCCCCAGGTCCCTGGCCCCTGACTGCACAGCATCCTGCATGTCTGCCCCCTGGCTCCCAGCCCCCTACCACACAGTCCCCTGGACGTCTGCCCCCAGGCAGCTGAGCACTTGTCTCGTATGACAGTGGCTCAGACACCGCAGGGTCCCCAGTGTGTGACCTCCTGGGCACCCTGGCTGTGATGGCCCTCGTGTGACTGTCCTTCACCATCTCAAGGACTGAGGGAGTGTGCCCAGCCGGCAAATCCTGTCCGCCCTCAGCTCCTCTGAGCCCTCCCCTTGTGGTGCTGGACATGACCACTGAGGAAAGCCCTGGAGCTGAACGGGCCCCGCACGGACACATGCACACACACCCCTCAGCACGTAGAGAACAGTGGTGGCAGTGTGGTGACACTGAACCTGGGCTCACCTGAAAGTGACTCACCCCTGACTCCCACACACCCACCTGAGGTCCCAGCCTGGGGCGCACAGAGGCAGACAGTGCTCTCTCATGTACTGGGGACAGCGTATCTGCGTGTGACTGTGCTCACGTGTGCCTGTGTGTGTGTGCCTGCGTGCCCTCGTGTGTACCTGGGGACGGCATATCTGCATGTGACTGTGCTCACGTGTACCTGTGTGTGTGTACCTGCAGCCCTCACATGTACCTGGGGACAGCATATCTGCATGTGACTGTGCTCATGTGTACTTGTGTGTGTGTACCTGCAGCCCTCACGTGTACCTGGGGACAGCATATCTGTGTATGACTGTGCTCACATGTGCCTGTGTGTGTACCTGTGTGCCCTTGCGTGTACTTGGGGACAGCATATCTGTGACTGTGCTCATGTGTACCTGCGTACCCTTGCATGTACTAGGAGACAGTATATGTGCATGTGACTGTGTGCTCACGTGTACCTGTGTGTGTGTACCTGCGTGCCCTTGCGTGTATCTGGGGACAGCATATCTATGACTTTGCTCATGTGTACCTGCGTGCCCTCGCGTGTACCTGGGGACAGCATATCTATGACTTTGCTCATGTGTACCTGTGTGCCTTCGCGTATACCTGGGGACAGCATATCTGTGACTGCTCATGTGTACCTGCGTGCCCTCGCGTGTACCTGGGGACTGCATATCTGCGATGGGTACCGCAAGGCAGGCACCAGCATCTGGAAGGTGTCGGTTTACTGCCGCCGCCGGGCCCAGGTTAGCCACACGTTTGCTTCCCGCCGCAGCTGTGCAAACTCCCGTGGCCTGGCTCCCACGGGCAGCCAGACAGTGGCCCCTTTGTCAGCGCCGCCCCAGGCCCCATCTCGGCACCGGCCTGCCACTGGCCGCCACAAACAGCTGTGGGAAGCATCTGTCTGAGGCGGCATTCATCCCACCGTGAGAAGGTAAATATTGTAACTCGGGGTCACACCTCCATGGCTCCGGAGCCAGACCAGACTTGGCCCATCCTTCTAGAACCTTCCCTGTGTTGGCTGACGGTGCCCCAGCGTCTCGCTTGGTCTCTGGTTGTTGAGGTTGGCTCATGGGCTCATGGCAGGTCTGGCTCCTCCGAGGATCACGTTGTTGCTGCTGTTTGGTGCCTTGGCATCAATTGTCCAAGAATTTGGCATCACAGAACTGCGCCGTCCGGACCTTTGCACTGTCACGTGAACAGTCATTGGTCTGTGGATACGGTTTGGTTTACATTTTGCGCCTGATGGGGATGTGACAGTATGTGGGCGTATGAGAGTGTGTGTGAGTGTGCATGTGTGTGTGTGTGAGCCCACGTGGGCAGTGGGGCGCGATCAGGGACTGCCCTGTTCCCGAGCAGGGCGGGGGGAGGTGCTTTTCAGGTGCCTCTGAATTGGTTCCAGCTCCCTGTGACCCCACAGACAACAGGGCAAGAGGCCGCCCTGTCCTGTGCTGTCCTCCATCTCCACCAAGCTTAAGCCGCTGTTGCAGGGTCGGTCCTTCTCCACGGGGGTCTTCCTCCCCTTTGCCACCCTTCTGCTGTCCAAGCATGATGTCTTCTCTAGGCCTGGCCCTTCCCGGTGAGATGCCCAAAAGTGTGTGAGACGAAGCCCCGTCCCCCCTTCTGAGGAGGCCCCTGCAGCACCTCCTGTGCTGTCTGTGCTACGTTCCGTCTTCGCCAGCGTCGTGTTAAAGACCAGTACTTCGGTCTCTCTTATCCTTCCTCAGGGCTGCAGGAACACAAATAGTGGGCGTGATTGAGACTGAAGAACAGAGCTGCAGCGGGAAGTCGGGCTCTGTCCGTGTGTCCAGTCCTCCTGTGCGGAGTCCTGGGGGAGCCTGGGTTCCCCGGGGTGTGGACAACACGGAGCAGCATCTCTGTGTGTGTGTGTAGATATGCGTTTGTATGTGTATTTGTGTGTGTATGTACTGAATGTGTGGATATGTGTGACTGTGTATGTGTATCTGTATTTATATGTGTGTGTCTTTATTACTTGTGTGTGTCTGAGTTTATGTGCTACTGTTTATGTGTGTCCATGTCTCTCTGTGTGTGTGTGTCTGTGTCTGTGTCTCTTTTGGGCCTTCTCATAATTCTGAAAGCTAGGACTGAGAAAAGACTTCAATTTTCTAAAGAGATTAGGTGAGCCTTCCCTTAAAGTGATGGTAGATGGCATTCTTGGTCACAGTAGCCGCCATCCCTCCCTGTGGGCCAGCCCGTGTCCCTTTGTCCCCACCCACCTTGAGCAGGCAGGCCGTATGACGTGCTTCCCAGGTCCCTGCAGGGAGCCCCCTTGACCCAGGAACTGACGCCAAGACACTTGGGGACCCCCAGGGTGGGGGGAGACAAGGATCATTCTCCAGGACTGACAGAGGAAGGCGCTTCCTCCTAGAGCCAGCACCGTGAAATAGGGCGTGTAGCCCCCACGTGATGGGAGATAACGTCCAGTCTGTGAAGCCACCCTCGGTGGCACCTCTGTTAGAGCAGCGACAGGTGATTGAGACAGACGCCGAGGATTGCCGCTGCTGGAGGGGGAGGCTGAGGACTGACAGTGTTAGACCGTCACAAGGCAAGGTGAACTGTCCCAGGGGTCAAGCAGCGTCTCAGAAACACACAGGCTGGAAGTGTTCGGTGTGGACTTGGAGCAAGCGTGATGGCAGGCTCGGCCCCCTCTCCGGTCGGCAGGGGCTGTTTATTATTGGCCTTGTGCTATGAGGAGGGGTGATTTATTATCGGCCAGTGTTTTCTGAGCACTCACAACCTTAGAGTGTCACGCACAATGGGCTCCTTGTGTTCCTTCCACCAACGCCGGTTCTTCACACCAAGCTTTGCACAAGACCCTCATTCATCTCACTTTTTTTCATCAAGAAACCCTGGAAGTCAAGACCACGTCTTCCAGAAAGCCTTGTGTTTTCTGTCACTTCCTCTCAAATGGTTTGGGCTGAAGCTTGCCATTTGACGCAGTCGGACCTTTATCTGGCACCCAAGGTGCCTGGGGAGAAGCTGTGGTGGTGCAGTGGCTAAGGCGTTCCACACGGCGCTGCTTGCATCCTACAGTCATCCTCCTCCCCACCCCACCCACTGCACCCCAGGAGCCGGGGGAGCCAGTCTGTGGGCCACTCTGCGCTGCCCCCCAGGGGCACCAGGGGCTGGAGGGGCAGTGAGCCACTTGCAGATTCTGGGTGTCAACAAGGCTGGGCCAGTCCTGCCTCCCCGCTAAGGCCTGTCCTCCAGGTCCTGATGTTGGCTGTCACCACCATCATGTTGATGCCAAGCACTCGGGGACAGAGACTGCCCAGTCCTTTCCTCTCCCTGGGGGATGCTGTGGACCCAACCACTGGAACGGGGGCGTGTCATAGTCTGAGATCTAGCAGTGACTCACCAGGCCTTTCTTCCTGCTTGGTCTTGGTCTGGAAGCTCATCTGAAGGTTGTTCAGCATCCCAGCTGCACACAGGCTCCCCGCGAAGGCAGACGGGGCCCACACGAGGTGCACTGACAGGGAATCAAACTCGGCTTCCTACGTGGAGGGGAGACTTCTATCACTGACCCACCACCGTGCCCGTCTGCTAGAAGACACGCAGAAGTGAGCCAGGCTGCGTGGGCGCCTGTGGGTTCCGTGCAGGCTGTCATGCAGGGAGATGGGAACAGAGTGAGGGGCGGGAAGGAAGAGGAATCTGGGGAGGCTCCTCGGAGGAGGCGGCATCCAGGCTGAGCTTTGAGGGACAGGAAGAATCCAGCCCCGGGGTCAAAGAGACATTTCGTTAACTTCACACTTCTGTTTTGATTAGAGACACAAGTAGGGTCTGTAGAAAAAGAAAAACTAGTTCCCAAGCCCAGCAGGAGGAGAGATGGAGAGAAGTTTCCAGATGCTCAGGGGACTTCCAAGCACAGACTCCACCAGGCCCCGACGGCCGGAGCAGAGTCGAAAATGCGGCTGTTTCTTAATGGTGGTTCCAACAGCTCTCAGGTCTTCTTATATGTTAAAAAATCCTGGAAATTATTTGCTTGGCAAGAGCATTCCGTGGTTCTTTAGGTTATTTTTAAAAAACAAACAAAAAAAACCCCAAACCCTTTTCCCTTTTGCTGTTGTTTTTTATCTTTCTCTGGATTTAGGGCAAAAACTTCTGACCCACTGTGAGATTTTCCCCATGAATGTCATCAAAGTAAGTAGGCTAGAAGCACAGTGCTCAGAAGTAGGGCACATGGCAGGGAATCGGGGCACGTAGCCGCCCGGAAGCTCCCAAGATCGGCCATGTCAGTGCCTCCAGCCTCCAGTCACATCCGCCAATTGCCTCAAAGCCAGACGGAGCAGTGAAGTCCTGAAACCCGGTCCAAACCGCAGCCAGTGAAGAACTGTCGGCTCACGTCACCCCACGTGTGTCAGAGTGGAGCTGAGCTCACGGTGGGTTCTTGGCTGCTAACTTTTCTGAAGCAGAACATCAGACTTCTTTTCCGTCCGTCAGTTCATCTACCCACCCACCCACTCACTCACCCATCATCCATCCATCAGTCCACTCCTCCGTCCACTTGTTCACTCACCCGTCCATTTACACACCCAGCCATCTTTGCATCTGTCTACCAGCCCATCTGCCTGTTCACTCACCTGTCCATCTGTCCATCTGTCTACCCATGCACTCATCTAGCCATTTATCCATCTGTTAATCTTATCCATTCATCTATCTGGCCACTCATCCATCCTTCCATCCTTCCATCCTTCCATCATCCATCCTTCCATCATTCCCATCCATCCATCCATCCATCCATCCATCCATCCATCTCTTCATCCATCTATCCTTCCTTCCTTCCTTCCTTCCTTCCTTCCTTCCTTCCTTCCTTCCTT